AGGTGATGCCACCACAATTGCAAAATAAACGCACCCATTCACTGGGTTTAGCTCGGCCTCTCCATCCAGAGTAGATTTGCTTACGAAACAAACCTTTTTATTCTCCCAAGGAAATCCAGTCAAAAGCCGTAATATATCTTAATAAATAAATATATATATATCTGTTTTTCTCCCCTGCTTCTCCCTGGGGAGGGGGTGGCGTCCCACGGCTGTGCTGCCCCCTGGTGGAGAGGCCCTTCCTGCACCCCAGAAAAGCAGGCTGCGTCCTGCCCAACCTTCGGGGTTCCAAGCGAGCCCTTGCCAGCTGCCTTATATAACTTCGGGAGTGACTCACCCGGCTTTTGATCCCAAGAGCGGAGAATAGTTTTGAAGTCCGGGTGCCAGGAACGTTGCAAGGAGCTAGTCCTCAAGGCAAACCAAAAAACAAAACATTACCAAGACGGGCAAACTTGTGACGGGCACAGGGAGAAATCCATCGGGTGGATGGCTGGACCAGGCCAGGAGGGTTTTAGCTGACCTTCAGAAGCCTCTCCGGAGTGTGGCCCTGCTTTCTTCGCTCCGGTTGAGCCTCCCTGTTTAAGAGCAGTCTACCTCGGAACCTCCAAGGGGCAAAGCCCATGGGCAGAGATGTCTCCGTCCTCTTCTGCCGTGCGTCTCTGCATCTAGACTTTGAGTCTGCTCGTTCCCTCCTCTTCCTCTTGAGGGAATAAGACCGGGCTTTTCTTTCACTTCCCATCCTACCTCGCAGGGGGCTGTCGCAAAGCGGCATCGGCCTGTAGCTGGCAGGCCCAACTTCCAAGAAAGGCTTCGATCCACAGCGGGTATCCCGGGATACCCGAATAAATATTAAAAATATTTAATATTTTTAATATTAAAAATATTAAAAAATATTACAACTTTTGGGACAGAGATGCAAAACGGAATTAATTCGCCGTCGAATAACCACTTTTATTTTGAATCCCACTTTTTAAGCAATAACTCGAGGCAGCAATCATATCGGACGCCCCTTCCTCCTAATATTCTTTAAACTTAACAGGCTGCCCAACTTTCAGTGACTCCATCGAAGGAGGAGTTAAAAGTGCCAAAGTTTTTAAAACTTTGGAAAAAGTTTGCAGTCCTCATTGGGGACCCGAAGTGTGTTATTAACGGCTCTTCCTTATTATTAATTTTATCGTGACCTCTTGACGAAGCCTCTGGAGGTGACGCCCTCCTAATAAAAGTCTTTTTAATGAAAGGAATCAAATCTGCCAGATGTAGTTTGACGCTGGGTGTGTTTTGCCGTGTTTAAAACAGGTAAGATATATGCCCCTATATATTTAATGAATTATGGTCATTACCTAGAAGACAGCTATGTGTTAAACCTGCTTATAAAATCTCAGGGTCAAATATATACATTTCTTTTCGACGGATGCATTTTTCCTGGGCTCAGTCCTTCCTTATCGCCACCGAATCAGCTTGTAAAGAAAAGCCAGGGTACTAGTCCTCAGCACGGCTCGGCGTAAATTTAAAATGTTCTGAAAGGAGGAGGAGGAGCTGGGTGCCCTAGTGAGACTTTTCCTAGCTAAAAGTTAGCAAACCGACTCAGATACAGAAATGGAAGTGGTTCCGTGGATCGAAACACATTTGCCAAGGATAAAAGTAGAATAAACCGATTTCCCCCCCCCCCCACCAGTAAAGTTGGGGAAACTTAGAACGCTGGTCCCAGCACGCCCTCGTGTGGTGGGACCAGGTATGGCAAGCATCTTCTGAACTATTCATAAATGAGGAATCTAAAAGAAAAAGTATGNGTGTGTGTGTGTGTGTGTTGTCACACGATCCCCTTTTGCGACCGGCAAAGCCCGCTTCATTTAACGTCGGCGTTATGAAATTGAAAACCGGAGGGATTCCCTTAACAAGGGTGGCAAGGAAGGATCATAAAGTGGGGGGTCGAAACCTCTCCGAACAAATGTCTCACTTAGCAACAGAAACCTTGGGCTTCATTGTAGTCACAAGACGAGGACCACCTATAGGCCGGAGAAGCAAGCCGCCCGTCTCTCTCCGAGACGGCGTAATAGAAAGACAAGAGTTGGTAAAATGGGACAAAATTCACGGCACCGGCGTCTCACTCAGCCACGGAAAAATCTGGGGCTCAACCGTGGTTATTAGCCGAGGGACACCTCCGCACTCAACCTGGGGGGCGCCAAGAGACACCAAGTCCTCGCTTACCTCTTGTAGTTCACGGAAAGGTTGGCGGTCAGCACGATCCCGAAGGCGCAGATGCCGCAACTCGCAAAGGTGTGATCCAGGATGGCGGCCACGGCCCCCCCGTGCACGAATCTGGATCGAGGCGGGAGTCAACATCGGAAGAGGCGGGAGGGGACCGGAAAAAGCGCGGAGGAGAGCAACAATTAGAGGACAGGAGGCTAAAACATACGAAGAACGGTTGCAGGAACTGGGGATGTCCAGTTTTAAGGAAAAGAAGGACTAGGGGAGGACATGATAGCATCTTCTAGTATTTGAGGGGCTGCTTGGGGGGGGTGGGAGGTTGAACTAGATGACCCAAAGGTCCCTTCTTGTTAATTTTATTCAACGTTAGAAAACAGACTGGAAGAATGTCCGACGGGATGTGGAGACGCGGCCTCCGATCAACCTCTCCAAGCTCACCCGATCATCCCTTCCAAATACGACCCCGGTTGGAGAAGGACCATCATCCGTCTCTCCGAGTCGTTGTAAAACATGGCAAACTCGAACCCGCGGCCTTCGGTAGCCACGTTTCGGACGAACAAGCAGGCGTCTTGATGTTTTCTCGGCGTGTACCCCGATTTGCTGCGGACTACGAAGGGAGGCGGGGAGAAGAAAAAAAAACGACGAAAGAAAAACGAAGAGATTTAAAGTTTGGAAAAAGTAAATTCTCTTATTTTTATTAGATTTGCGGTTCGGGCTAAAATAAAACAGAGATAAGAAATGCTGCCCCCCCTGGAGGAGGAAAAATCATCCAGATGTAGAATATTTGGCGGTGGGGAAGTAAAATTGGTTGCAGGGGGGGCGGGTCACGATTGGGAGTTAATTTTTGAACCAGGCTACAAAGGAAATCAAGGGTTGCTCAGTGGCTAAGATGCTGTGCTTGTTGATCAGAAAAGTCAGCAGTTCGAATCCCCAGCGCCATGTAACGGAGTGAGCTCCCGTTACTTGTCCCAGCTTCCGTCAACTTAGCAGTTTGAAAACACATAAATATGCAAGTAGAAAAATAGGAGCCACCTTTGGTGGGAAGGGAACAGCGTTCCGTGCGCCTTCGGCGTT